GGGCTCCCTCATGGGTTCTGGGTGTGCGCATTGAGGCATGCTGCAGAGCACCGTCTTCGAGCTCAACTACATCGTCTGGGCGTGGTGACCCGCCCAATGGTGAGATTTGCTGCAACTATGTCTGTAAAGACGAAACGATGGCATCGTGCAGGCCAATTGAGCAATCCCTTTCGCAGCATGCAAATTCTGGGCCCAAGTCCCTTTATGTCCAACCGCTGGCTGGCAAGAGACCGTCGAGGCCTTGTTCAACACGTGAGGTCAGCCTGGGTTCAAGCTGAAGGCGCTGATCATGCCCACCATGAGTTACAATTGGCTGATGCAGAGGCCCTTCAACCTGTTCGACGTCGCCTTCATGGAAAACAACCACCAATGGCGGAGGGTCCTTTGGAAGGGGTGGTCGGGGCTTTGTACCAACCTGCGTTGACTGCGCTGCAGGTTGGGAGGGGGGATGACCTCCTTGGCTTTTGATTCTGAGCCTCTTGAATCTGAGCCACCGGATTCGAACTGTTTGGACTCGCTGGACTGGGGATGGGAAGATAGCCATGCAACTGGGGAAACCACATGTTTGCCGAGACCTTCCACCGGGACACCACCTACTACCAGAACGATGGCGGAGGACCATGGCGGAGGTAGGACGGAGGACCTTGGCGGAGGAAAGGCGGAGGACCAAATCCTAACCAGTGGTTGGGAGGAGCAGGAGAAACTGCACGAGCAGGAGCTGTTCGAGCACTGGTCACTGAAGAGATTGTGGTGTGATGAACTCAGAGAGGTCGCCGTGGGGGCGGAGGAGGGTCGTGAACAAGGAGAGTGGCTCCAATGGCTGGAAACGTCTGTGCGCGTGAAGGAAGCGGCCCTGGAAGCACAACATCAAGAGCTAGAAAATGCGTTGCGGGCAAAACTTTCCTCGGTGAATGAGCCCTATGCCACAACAGGAACGTTTTCGAGGCCGAGCTCAGTTCTCCAGACATATACAGTACCATTACAACAGGTGCACCGTGAACTGGAGAAATGGAAGGAGCCGTTGTCTGAAGAGTATGTGTCCCTCACCTCCAAAACCCGAGCTCTCCGAACCACTACGGTTGAAGCCTTGAAGGACCACCCGAACTACGCCGAGATGGAAATAGCGCCGGCCATGGTTGTCCCCACGGTGAAGGCACCGTTTGGAAAGCATCGTGCGCGCATGGTCATCTGCGGTAACCGGGTGGAGTGGGCTGATCCTGACCAGGCATCAAAAGCAGCTCCACAGGGTCATCATGATGATGGACGTGAAGTTCTTTTTGGGAACTATGCGGGCGGGGCGGACGCCACTTTGTTGCGGTGTCTTTTCCGCAAGGCCGCAAATGAAGCTTGGACCCGAGGGTCCATTGATGTGAAAACGGCATTTTTGCTGGCACCACGTCAGCGGGCAAGGGAATCACTACTTGTTGCACTCCCACCTCGTGTGCTCGTAGAAGCTGGAATTGTCACCGAGTCCGAACGCTGGATCATCGACAAAGCCATGTACGGCTTGGAATCCAGTCCTGCCGATTGGAGGATCTACCGGGACTCCATGCTCCAGAAGTTCAAGTGGAACCTCAATGGAGTTCGACATGAGTTGAGGCCTACGCCCGAGGGGAATCTCTGGCAGGTGATCGCATGCCCTACAAATGAAGTTGAATATGCTGCTGGCTATGTGGCGGTGTACGTGGACGACCTGCTGGCGGTGGGTCCGGATGATGTTGTCCGGAGTGTGCTCAAGCGCATCACGGAAGAATGGAAGTGCTCAGATCCTGAGTTTGTCCAAGAGGGACGATGGATGAAGTACTGCGGCTTTGAACTGTCGTGGGACAACGCCAAGAGCGAGCTGATCATCGGCCAGGAGGCCTACACCTTGGATTTGCTAAGTCGCCATGAGCCTGTAGCACACAAAGCCACACCTATGCCAGGAACACTATGTGATGAACCTGAAGAAAATCCAACTGCAGAGCAGATCAAGGCTGCTCAAGGGCTCGTCGGTGAATTGCTTTGGCTCTCAACGAGAACACGCCCTGATTTGTCCTTTGCAGTGGCCTGGCTTGGTCGGGGCACGGGCAAATATCCGGCTCGTGTTTGTGAATACGGTAAGCATGTTTTGGGCTATGCCACCAACACCTCCAATGTCTGTTTGAGATACGGAAAGTGTTCACCTGCTTTGGAGGAGGGGTCTGACTTGGCTTTCAAGAGCACCATGAAGAAGCTGGAGATTTTTTGTGATGTCTCTTTCGCCCCGCCGGGTGGACGAGGAGAACAGGGGGTCATTGTGCGATATGGTGGCGCTCCTGTACAATGGGAATCAAAGTTGCAACCTTTTGCCACCCTCTCCAGCTCAGAAACCGAGATTTGCGGCTACTTGGATGGTGTGGTAATGGGGGAATCCACCAGTGTCATTGTGAACATTTTGGAGCAGGGGATGCTGGATGATGAGTTGGGTGTTCTGTATGGGGACAGCCAAACTGGTTTGAAGATTTTGCAAGCCCCGGACGGTGCCTGGCGCACAAGGCATTTGAGGCTTCGGTGCTTCGCAATTCGCGAACGCGTCAACATGGGGCTGTGGAAGGTGAGACACTTGGCAGGTGCAAAGCTGGCTGCGGATTTGCTCACCAAGCCGGTGACGCAGCTGGGCGCCTGGCAGGCCTTCATGCTCTTCATGAACTTGCGCGCGGCCGCTTCGAAGGCAGCTGATGAGAGTCCTGAGACTCCGGGGGAGCGACGGTCCAAAGTGGCTGTGCTTGCAGGGGTGGTAGCCGGCTTAGCTGCTTGGAGACACTTGAAGCCTTGAGTAAATTGGCTCGGCTTGTAGGCATCGCCGCGGTAGTTGCTCGCTTAGCTAGCTGTTTGAGAGACCACAAAAGAGCCACTGGCCAACAAGATCCGCTGAGGGAAGATGAACCCGGCGGCATTTTCCAAGAAAAGAAAGTGAACACAAGAGCCACTGGCCTACAAGATCCGTTGAGGGAAGATGAACCCAACGGCATTTTCCAATCACCTCAAGAGGTGAGAACTTCTAGCCTGCAAGGCTCCCGGATCGGCGCGCGCGCGTTGGGCCATGGAATGGGGGGAGCGCCGATGCGCCTGGCAGCCTTCCGATCGCCGCTGCCGCAGACTGGGCCGCCTTGGGAATGGTATTCATTCTCCCTACCACCTCAAGGGCGAGACAGGTGGGGACGGCTTGCTGATGGATGGTGGGTTCGCCACCATGTGAAACCAAGGGTTCGACCCTTTCATCCGCTTCATCGCCAAACGCTGGTTGAGGGCAGCCGCCTCCAGAACCTGAGGACAGTGGTGGTTTGGTGCCATGGCGAGAAGCAGGTGATCCAAGATGACTGGCGGGATGGGACTTCGCCAGTGATGCCTCCAAATGAGCCATGGGTTGGCTACACCTTTTTCCAAGAGATCACTCCGGCGGGGACCGGGGCGACTCAAGAGACTTTGACATCAGGGAGTTCTTCAACGCCCCAACCCGTGAGCTTGACTACCTCCTCGATGGGCAGCGGTTCGTCTGGTCCGCCGCCAATGCCGAGGCCCGCTGAACAGCTCACGGCGCAGCCGGTGCCAAGGCCCTTGCCGATCGAACAGCCTACAGTGCCGGAGTCAGAGGAGCTGCCAATTGATGCGAGCTATGCCCGAAGGGGCACCAATGAAACTATCAGTTCCTCGAGCACTCCCGGAGGGCCGCAGGGCTATGGGGGGGAAACTACAAGCTCCTCAACTTCGAGGAGATCTTCGGCGCAAGCTCGAGGCCTGCAAGCGATGGAGTACCTGAACCGGCTGGAAAGCCATGAGAGAAGGGGCGAGACGGAGCCAATCTATGAAGAGGGCTTCAACCAGGAGACCGGGGTTTACTGGTCTGAGGGGCCACAAGGCCATGACGGCATGACCCGGGACGAAGAAGAACGGGATGATTGGCTCTACGCCCTACGAATGGAGGGTCTGACGCAGCCGGGCGACAGGATGGCGGGATTGCTGCCGCCTGAGGCAGATCAGCTGCCTGTGTGGATGGGGGTGGGCACGCAAATGCCTCCACCACGTGCCCCAAGCCGAACAGCACGAGAAGAAGACCCAAACGATTCTGAGGGCAGCTTTGAAATTTTCTACTAAATGAAATGCTTTTGGAATGCGAAGCAGAAGAAAAAACCTGCTGAGCATAGCATGCACTCATACCTGCAACGCAGGTAGGGGGAGTGTGAATAGCTCGATCGAGACCGATCGCATGTTTCAGTTGACAAGCACAAACCAGTTGTGCACTCGCTCGATGGCTCAAGAAACAGGGACGACGTGCCGATCCCGACGTTTTTTCCACGTGACCTTCCTTAGATTAAAAAGGGCTGTGGGAGCTATGGTGAGACAAAGATTAACGAAATTAATAACTTTCCGAAGATGGCTTCATGTCTTTTTCGAGTGTCACCAAGCACGTCAGCCCAAGCTGTCTCGGTGGCTGCATGTTGACCTTCGGTTTCAAAGTGGAATCTACTATTGAAACTTGCCAGGCGCCAGTGAACCAAGGCTAGTGAGCAGCTACCGCAGGAGAACATTCGTTGGCCTAAGCCAACCACAATTCTTTAATGTCGGATGCCAGAGTTGCGGGTAAGCTTGCTGGTTTTGAGTTGCATTTCGCATGCTGCTAGAGGAGTTTGACATTACTCCTTTGAAAGACCGCCAGAACAGGCTGAAAATCAGACCAGGGACACTGTGAAGAAAGCCTACGCCTTGTCATTTTGGAGCCGACATGTTGGATGATTGCTACTTGTACCCTTCCAGCCTTCCAGCCTCTCTTGTGCCAAGTTTTGTAATCCAAAAACCTGAGATGCGATTGGCAAGGCAGATTCTCCGCGATCAAGTTGAGTTTTTGTTTAAAAATAACGCTCCGAGACAGAAGGGAGAATGCAGGAAGAGAACACACCAGGAGTGGCGAGGGAAGGGGGTAGCAAGTAGAGTGGACACCCTGACGTTGGTAGAGGATTCCGAAGCAGAACATAACATATCGGCAAGAGAAACAAAGCGCTTTTACTCCATGGCAATGGCAGCTGTCTCCCCACGTGGCATATTTGTCAGCCCAGAAACTTCGTTGCCTACAGGCAGGTTTTCGGACGTGAACAGAGTGATGCTGATGTGCACTTTTACAAACACGATCAAGAAAAGGCTTTGCATTTTGGCAGGTAGAGTGCATGTATCGGTCAAAGCAAGAAAGCTCCTTACAGCGAACAGCGCACGCGCGTTTGGCCTTCTTTGTGTGGCCACCTTCAGCAAATCCAGAAGGCTTCCGCACTGCAGCTGCAAAGCTGGAAGGGCATTAGCCCCACACAGGAGTGTGCAGATAGATCAAGATGGAAGGCACGTGGGAGAGGTATCATCTTATTCAGAGCTTCGGCGCATTGCTGTTCGCGAAACTCTTGCCATGTGGAGGCATTGGGAGGCGGCTGTGTCGAGGATAGGGCCACGGCTTCCAGAGACCATAAAAAGTATTGATGAAGCGTGGCGAACTGGTGCCGGGCTACTCAGAGTTGCATGCTTTGAGGCCCACCGCAGTTGGTTTCCTCATGTGCCTGTCACTGTAGCTTTTGCTCAACCAAGCAGGCAAGCTCCATCACACAGATCGCAGTGGCTGGAGAGAATCTGTGTTTTGGCACCGGCTCTGGCAGAATCCGTGTTGTAGATATACGGAGTGGAGCAAGGGTGGGAGAGAGCCTTGGTATTGACTTGTAATCTGTGCTTTCAGCTGAAGTCTCTGACGACAGACTGACGACAGATCCCAATAGGCAGACCGGCCACTTCTCAGGTATTTCATCGGTTCACATTTGCCATCTGCAGTAACCGCACTGCACTTTAGCCACAATATGGTCATAGCTGGAGACTCTGCTGGAGGTTTATATGCTTGGCGATCTGAGTTTCCAGGTAGCTCCATTGCTGCAATGTGGAGAAAATTGGAATGGCAAGCCATGCCTTTTGGCTAACAGCTGCACCTTGCCATTGGAAATGCTTTCCCGTTCTCGCCTAAGGTTGGGGTTATACCCCTGCTCCTGACCTGACTTTTGTTGCAGTTGGCCACAGAGCACACAATGGTGCAATTGCAGGCAAGTACTTGCTGTGCCGTTTTTTATTGATATAATTCAACTTGCAAATTGTTGTTCTTTTCCATTATGAGTTTTAGGCTTGCTTTGCTTTGGCGATCTTTTGATCAGCTGTGGTGGAAACTCCGTATGCCTTTGGCATTTGGAGAAGGAGGACCTGCATGGTTACACCCACAAAGGCAACTGGACCAGAGGCATTGCTATTTGAGAGCCTATTGTGATTGTTGCGCGATTTTTGCGGTGCCAACACGAGAAATCAGAAATCAGAACCTCATGGCCGAATGACACAAATAATGTCTACAACTTCAGCATTGGCCAAGGCATCACTTCTCCAAAAACGCGGACACTGTGCTTCACGTTTATGGTTTGGTGCTAAACTTTGAACAATAGAAATACATAGGCATAGGACAAAACGTCAGTGGTGCTCGATTCCATGACTTGCTGGTGATTGTAGGCTGAAAACTGTCGAGTAATAAACTACTCAAGCTTCATATTATGAGGGTAGATTGTCGTTTGGCTGAAGGGATAAACCACTGCGCCTCATTTGGCTGGCCATGGTTTCTCTGGGGCCTGTGCACTGGCCTTTGCTTTGGACTTTGCATGGGTTTGGGCATTCCTGGTGCGTTTTGTCCATTCTTCTTCGCCGGCTCCTCCTGGGCCTGCCTGGTCTTGGGAGGCTTCCTTGCCTGTGGCTGTTCGGGTGACTGACGGCCTGGGACGGCCTATTTGGCCCTCCTTCCCATTTGCCCTCCCACTCTTAGGGTCTCACCTTCTGCGGGCTTCTTTGATGGAGGACTGAGGGCAGTGGCTTGATATGCGCAGGCTGAAGAAGAGGATCTTCATCAACGGCTTTGTCTTTCTCGCTAAGGAGGCTTGCCGCTTTAAATTTTCCCGAAGCTGAATGTCGCCAGCGATCGGACTGATTGCTGTGGGAGCTTCACGTGGGTCCGTGGGCGGGGCCGTGGGGAAATGGAAGTGTGAAGCCGCCAACAAACGCTGGCGAGGCGCGCAGCGGTTCCTTTTCGGAGGCAACGCGCACTTGGGCGCAAGTGGCCAGGGTCCCGGAGGATGTGAGGAGAGAAATACTAGGGTGGTAGCAAGCGGGCCTGTCTTGTCGGAGATGGCAAGCTCAGATGAAGGAGGCGCAGGGTGAGAAGCCAGACCGCATGACGGAGAATGTGGCGTGACATGAATGCGTCAATTTTGCGTGAACTGTGCAAATGCTTGATTGCACAGACACCATTGCCGGCCGCCATCCTCCGAAGATATTGGAAGAGAATCACGCACGGCCCTGGGGGATGCAGGGGACATGCGGCCTTTGGAGCGGTCAGCGCAGCCTGCTGTTTTGGAAGAGCGAGCGCAGTTGTGGAACATGGAACTGCCGCATCTGGTTGGCACCGCTGGACAAGAAAACGCGTAAGAAGATTATGACGCCGCGGTTCTTCGCCTACGCGATCATCGCCGTGGAGCATGCTTTTGATCTTGCGGATCTTGCGGCGCTCGATATCTTGCTAGAGCGCTGCAAGGGGCAAAAATCAGAGCCCAAATGATTTGACAGATCATCTTTTCGATGGTGTCGATGAAATGAACAAGCTGACGTGAACATTCGAGGCGCTCTTCATGGTCACGGCGTGGGCAATCTCTTCAAAGGCGGGAGAACCTGATGAGGACCTCCCTAAGCCAAGCTCTATATATAAGGCATCAGGCCAGGGGGAAACCTGGTTGCGTTGAGGACAGGGAGTAGAAGGCCAAGAAAGGTGAGCTTCGTTGGAAAGATCCTTGGTTGGTTAGCGCAGGCTTTGCTTCATCTAAAGCAGGGGAAAGAGCGTCGGCAAGGACATGCGCTGCAACGCAAAACTTTTGTTGGATAGCGAGCGGGAGTGGGGTCAAAACACAGTCGTCGCATGCAATTCGACACTGGCACAGTAAGTAAGCAAGGTGCAGCAACTTCACACCGAAGGATTCGCGCAATCTTGCAAAAGGTTTCAGCGTGCGCGCGCGCGCGCGCGACCGCCCGAATCATAAAAGGGAGCCTTGCGGCTTTTCAAACGAAATTTACCACCACACAACCCCGTGGAAAGCGTTGCCAGCGAAGACCTCTCCATCGCGTCGCGATATGACTTGCGGAAGCTGCGTTCTGACCTCCATTCCTTACTGGGCACTGTTCCTAAAGAGGCCAAGATGCCCAGCTGTTGCGCCGTTTGTGCATTTGGCCGCCTTGCAAATTATCTGGTTTATTGAGGCGATTCTTCACCCAGGCTTCCGTGTGGCATGTGGCATTCAGACCGTACGTACGTTATCCCGAACGTATGTGTGTGTGAGGGGGGCAGCCTCTTGCATCACTAGACAATCAGAGCTCAGACGACAGTGTAAAAGAAGCAGGGTGGGCAAGAGGTTAGAATCTGGCTTCAGTGTTTCTTTGCAATTAAGGTACTGCGGACTTCAAGTCACCGCCACTATGCTTGTCCAAAGCTGAAAGTGATGCTGTCTACCTAGGGCTGGAGGACATCATGCAACGTGTTGGCTTAAACAAGTTTGCAACTTGCAGCTCCAAAAGGGGTTTAACCCGACATTGCAATGCAAAAACCAAACATGGCGTTGAGACATTCGCCAGGACGGTTCCGTCTGGAAGTTTGAGTGTTCTGATATGTCAAAGTCTAGTGTCTTGCCTCCATCAGAAGCCGGTGCCGTCACAGCAGTGGTGCCTCGGTTGGATCTGGAACCTCAGGTTTCACAAGTTCACAAGTTTCAAAGATTTGTATTGTTTAGACTCTAGGCTTATCAATCTGGCACCTTGGTCGTTGGCTATCAAAACGGCGAGGCGGGGACCGTGCAACATAGTAGGGCGCGTCTTAAGATGCGTTAAAGGTGAAGATCCTCCGAAACTCCAAGCCACACACAGCAGAAGCGTTCCACAGAGGTCGTGTGCCACTCGTCGGAGAGGTTCTTGATGTTTTGGATCGCCTTTGGTTGGGCCTTAACCTTTGCACATTCGCACTTGTTGCAGTATCCGTGAAACTTAGGCGACATCTGCAGTTTCTTCCTCGACACAAAGCATCGGAAACCTTGTTTTTGAGCGCCGCTTGTGATGGAAGAGTTTGTGCCTGGAGTGATTCTGGCACAGCTTTATGGGGTATTCGTGGGCTACGTTCGGGCCTTGGCAAGAGAGCGGAGGATTCGGACTTGGACCGCTTGCCTTTGGACAACGTTTCCCTGGCTGCTGACAGCGAACGGCTCTTCTTCAGTGGCCTTGTCGTTAACCCAGTCACTCCAGGCCAGAGAGTCATTGACTTTGGCAAAACAATTGGCTTGAAAAATCATGGTTTGTTTGCAGCTGCAGTTTTGGGACATGGTCCATGGTCATGCCGCTGCCACTTGCGTCTTCTTTCTTGTTTGATGACGGGGTTCAAAGCTCGCTACTTCTTTTGTTGATCTGTTTGCCAGAGGCAATACCGTCTTTGAAAGCGATTGGCGGCAGTCGAGATCCAACCACAACGAGGCCTGGACACGTTGCTCGACACGGGAATTGGACTGGAATTGGGCTGGTTGAAGCGGTCACCATGACAATGTGGTGGCGGTGATGGTGATGTTGCTGGACAAGGTGATGAAGGGGCAAAATCACCCAGTAGTTGACAACCAACATATCGATCGAGTTAGGCTTTGTTGCGGCTTTTGGATCAATACGTGCAAACAAGGTTAAGCCCATGCACTTGAACGCATGACAACCTTTTCCAACACACTTTTTTGCGAAACTCTTCTAAATCACTCTTGAAGGCACTATTGCGGGACACTCTTGCGAGACTCTTCTACTCTTGTGTGGTACTTTTTGTGTGGCAGCTTGTAGAACACCCTTACTTGTAGCAGACACTCTTGTAGGACACTCTTGCTTGATCACTCTTCTAGTGCATTCTTTTGTGATATTCTTGCAAGACACTCTTGTGAGACACTCTTGTGGTGCACTCTTGCGCAACACCTGTCTAGAACACTAGCTTGCCCTGTGTGACGCTCTTGCAGTTCACACTTCTGGGGCACACTCTTGCGCGAGATTTGCTCCTAGAGTGAAGCTGGGAAGTCTCAACGACGAGCGCTTCGCGCGACGCTTCCTGGCCAGGGATGTACACCGTGCGCTTCGTACAAGACCTGTTCCACAAATACATCGCAGCCCTGCCACGGCATGACGCAGCGCGAGCCCTTCCACAAATCCTAATTAATGATTGCAGCGCCCCACTGTCACCAAACGTCGCGACCTCACAACTCATAGCGCCTGCCGTGAAACTATATATATATATATAGTCACCCTTTTAGTCTAAGCCGTCACCCAGTGATTTGTGAACTCATGGAGGCTAAAGGCAGAAAATGCAAAAACACAAACATTGTTGTTGCACAAAAAGTGCCGGCTACCCTAGCTGTAGCCCATTTTAGGGGGTCTAGCTCAGCATATTTTGGACCACAAGGCTAACTCTATCCTCATTCAGTGTGCAATTTGCTTCATCTGTCTCCGCAGGCAAATATAGAAGTACACTGACATAGTCCAGCCATAGAAGTACACTGCTATAGAGTTTGAAGCATATATATATATAAACACTAGCTGGATAGAGTTGAGCTATAGAGTTTGCACATAAACAACACAAACACTTCAGGGGCTGTGGCATAAACATGTCCTGTATGAACACGTCATCATGGGATCGAGATGTAGCGAGAAAAGAGTGCGTGCGGTCAACTCTATGCGTTTGAGGATTTTCATTCAGATTGCATGCTGGTGTTAATTTTTCTGAGTGGACAACTCTATTACCAATCAATTGACTCATTTTTTGGAAACTCAGCTAACTCTGAAAGGGCGGCTATATATATATATATATCTTCGTTCCCAATATCCTCAACACGTGCAAAGCATTGCCTCTGCCACGAAAAGTGACATTTCCACACCCTTGTGTATACAGGAAAGTGCACAGCGCTTTTGGAATGTTTTTGACACGCCTCCCAGCACCAGCCTGGAAACCGGACAGCCGCGAGGAAGCAAATTGGCGACCTCACAAAACGCTGCGCCTGCGCATCGCCCGTCCCATAGCGCCTGCAAAGTGTGTTCCTATAAACGCGCTCGCACCGATACACGGATAATTACACACACCGTTAGGTTTAGAGTTTAGGGTATCGACTGGCGTATCGTCGTAGTTGCGTAGAGCGCAACGCGTCCAACACTAAACAACGGAAAGGTGTAATCGCACAAACTGACACTAAAGGACACAGTTCGTAAGCGCACTCGCGCACGGCATTGCGAGCGGTTGACGACATGTCGAACGAACCGACCTCACCCTCAGACCCGCGAGGTTATGTTGAGAACCTTTCGCTACGCGCTCGAAGAAGACATGTCAAGGATGTTTCAGTCTGCAATACCAAAATATATCGAACACAATAGACATGGTCTTTGGGGAGATGGACATGGGGTGTGCTCCTCTGATAAAGATCCTTTCAGGTGGCACCTGCGTGCGAGGGCGTTCTGTGCATGGATATGGCCCGGTGAAAAAGCTTTGCGTTGTGGGATTTGCTTTGATATCAGCTTTGCAGGCTTCGATTCTTCATGATGTTTCACTGCACCTCGTTTTTGTGCAGCGTCAAGCTTGTTAATTATATAGATTTTGCTTGAGGTTTGTTAGTTCTTATCGGAATCGCTTCAATGCCACCAGTTGCTTTGATCAGATGTTGCCAAGATTGAGAACAGCATCGGAAATTGCTGTTGCATGTCAGCCTATTGTCATGGTGAGACAATTCTTGTGCCCCATCCCCTTTGAGCAGGGTGCATCAATTAGATGCCTTTCGCAGGACAAGGGGCGTACATGTCAACATCACAGCTACAAAAAGCATTTAGACACCCTCGATTCTGCTCTGGCAAGAGGTCTGGCACTCAGACTCGGATACCTCGTGTTTGAAATTACAAAGGCTTCGCATTCCTCCCCCGAACAAAAGCTTTCGGTTGTCCTCCGCGCGTCTATGTGATGATTCCTTGTCCAAGTGCCGTCGAGAATGTAAGCCACTTGCCTCGCCAAAACAGTTAAATCTCTTGGCATTATGTCCGGCTGGCAGCTTAATATGTAGCGCAAGCCTGCATGTATCTCATACAGATACAGAATGGTCATTCATATGCTTCTGTGCGCCTGCGAGGTGGTATAGTTCCTGCTTCCAGGTGTCTTTTCTGCCTGCAAAGTACATCACCTTGTATCCTTGTGGTTGTGGTGATGCTCTCCTGTGTAACAAAGTTTGGCTTGAAAGTTTGGTTTCTTTGCTTTGCCTTTTTCTCAGTTTGAACTTTGCATGCTTTTCATTGCGTTCAGGGTATCGACTAATTACCCATCCCAGTTTTTGTGTGATCTCATTGAGCTTGCGCCTGACGCCCCCAACCCATGGACCGGACATGCGACCACTTCGTCCGTTGCGTCTTGAGCTCTGAGCAGTTGCATGCCATCCACCGCACGGAATTGAGCTCGCAAGGAAAAGACTTACTGTAGGTACCCATGGTTAGTTGATCCCCGGTCGTCGGCAAATAGTGTGCATATTGACAGTGGCTGTGCGTTGTTGACATTAAGCAGCAGGTTGTTGGTTGAGCTTGGTCGCATGGCAGGCTACCCAAATGAGTGGATTTTTTCGGCTCTCAGCCCAGGTGATGCTCATTGATGCGCAGAGACAAATCCGACCTGGTGATCAGGCAGCTAGGGGCCCAGAAAGTCCAAACATGTTTGTCACGAAGAAGTTCTGCGAGAACGTCCCAACCTCTACAAAGGAGTTGCACGTTTACCTTCCTAAGCACGGGGTGTGGGATGAATGGTCTCGGGGCAATCTTGGCAGCTCGTGCTGGTCATAGTCATAGAGGATCGGTGTGTGTGTGTGTGTGTCCAACCCTGGACAAAGGGTCTTCCACCACCACTCTTTCCACTTTACATGGGCAGGGGGACACGGCGCCAGATTGCAGACCGTGTCTAACAAAGCTATGCAATCTGGTGGGATATCCAGCTTGGCCAGCTGGACGTACCTGCTCGTTCTTTCACAAGCTGTTACACCACTCTTCCGCGTTTTGCTTCATGGTCCTTCATGTTTCCACCCCCAAACCTCAGTTTTGCAGCTGACTTGAGCCGTCAGTTCACCACCGCCGATATGCAGCCGAGTCAAGCGAAACAATCGATGTTCAAACACTTCCAAGTTGTCGGACTTTTCGCCATGCTGTTCTATCGCCTTCCTTCCCAATGTGGCAATTGCGTTAACTGAAAACCCAAGTTCGAAGTGTGTCCCGCTCAGCCGTCCCACTCGGGTGCTGAGTGTGATCCCCGTCACAGGGGCGCCGATCTTGCATGGGAAAGCAACCACCCCAACGCACCACCACTCACTGGACTCTCACAGGAAGGCACCGACACCCTCACCGAATCAACTGACATACCGGCCGCCGGGCCAAAAAACGGTCCTTGAAGAATACATCGGATTTCAGCTTTCAGATTTTGGATCCGTCATTTCATTTCATTTCTTCAAGTCATGTGCGTGTTTCCACGTTTTGCCATATTGATGCCGTGATTCTTTCATCGACAGAACTCAAGGATGGGCATTAGAGCTCTTCAGTTTAATTCGAGATGCATGAACACACACCTACCAACAAGCTCACATCTAGCACCACCTTACAACATACTCTCCATCGACACCAGAGATGACACCTTCAACAACAACAAGACAATACAACTCGGCACTTCTCCGCTGCCTTTTTGCTGCCGCGCCGCGCCGTGCCATAGCTACGATCACGACATGCATTTTCCGTGGCCCTACGCTCACGCCACGCCACCACCATTACCTACCACACAACCTCAACCCACATGGCCGCTGCCACAGCCATCAACTGCACCCACCTTTCCCACGACACAACCATCGGCATACCCTCACCCACAACCACAACCATTTCAACCACCACCTTTTTTGTCCAACCCTACCGCCACTGCACTGACCTACGGCACACCATCCACTTGGACGTTTGTGCAACCATGTCACGTGCCACCGCAGCCCACACATCCAACTCCAGTTTTTCCGACAGCAGCACCTCCCCCTTCATACCTGTTGCCACCACATCATCCCACACCACCGGCTGAACTTCCTCCCCCCACTACACTGACACATCCCCCTCCAACACAGCAACAGACTGCGATTGCCAATCATCCATCCACAGACCCCCAATGCGCCATCCCCCAGGGCGTTTGGCAACCCTATTCAGCTTTTCCCCCAGTCACACAGCCTCCACTCCAACCATTGCCCCCGCCACCACCTCCACAAACCATCAACACCTCACCACCAGTCCAACCTCCACTCCAACACCAGACACCATCGGATCCAGCACCACCAATCCAACCCATCCCCACAACTGCCACGGACGCTCCATTGCCGGTCCAAAACACGACCCCTCCAGCTACCGTATCACAACACTCTGCATCACCATCGCTAGTATCAGCCACACCAGCACCCGGACCTTCACTACCTGCACCAGACAAGCTTGACACCACTGTCTCACCAGCACCACAACCACCTTCCCGCAACCACCACACAGCAGTCGCCGCCACCACCACAAGAACCGACACAAGTCCGACCATCACCGCAGAGGACGCCACCGCCACCGCCGCCGACATCGACATCACCGCCACTCCAAACATCACAGCACAACCCGGCGACGGCGTTCGCCTTCGACATCCACTTACACATCCAGCCTTACGCCATCCCGCAGTCGCTCACCACCACAACCCATCGATTTACGCCCCAACACTGAACACACCAACCCAGATCCCTCTCAATTTCCCACCACAGCCGTCCTCCGTCGCCCAATCAACCGTTGGCGACCTCCACCCAACTTTCACACCTTTACACCTGCAGACCAAATCCTGGAATGGCTCGAATTCCACGCCACCCAACTCGACAATCCCAACCGACCACAACACCAGTACATTGCCAATCTCCTCACAGACTGCAACATCACCTACAAGGAGATCACCGATTTCCGGCAATATACTCACGTCAAGTGGAACGACACAACTCACCAATACGACCAATTCCAGTACTACGCCATTTCACTTCCTTTCCTCAACACCAAAGCCACTACACCAGAACCGCCTGCGGTTTCCCGAGCCACATCAACCCACCGGGAAGTCGCCCACATCAACGCAGGCCACACAGGCCCTGTCGGCAACATTTCCAACATTCTACGCCAAGGCCGGTTTTTACCCAGCACACTCCATTTTGCCAACTACCCTGGATTTTTTGCCCAGGGCGTTCGCATCACCCACAACCAACCCCATGACCACAGCGAATTTGCCCGCATCATCCACAACACCTGGCAACTCCACAAGAACTCCCATTCCCTTATCATCACACTCCTTGCTTGGGGTGCTGCCACAAAATACACCTCCGGAGGTGAGGAACACGCCATGAACCTCCTTAACGATCACCATGGTGCAGTCTTCCATCAGAAGGGCCGCTGCTGGGTGATCCACCCGGACCACGCCATTGTCAAAGGACTGGCCTGGTCCACAAATTCCACTCCACCTGACACATAACACCATTGCCCCACACCTACACACCACTACCGCCTCCACATCCACCTTTGGTCTCACACCACCACCTAACCTTTGCTCGTAGCAGCCAAAAAGAGCCTCCTGCAGCGGCCACGCGAATTTTGAACCCTCAATTTTTCAAGCTCTGCAATTTTTGCTGTACACATCTTTCTTCGAATTGTACCGGCTGTTTTGATGGAGTGTTTCACATGTCAGAGTCTCATGTACTTGACTGTCCAACCGGCGTTGCATTTTCGTACTTTGCCTGTGGGAATTTGATGCTCGCTTAATTCATATGCACGGCCTCGTGATGACGCGCTCCCTCAGACTCGCCGCTGTCCGGCTGCTTTGGCGCGCTGCTGCAGCAACCCGTGACGATTCTGTGCTACTGTACATCCCTACGTCTCCGAATCATGAGCAGCACACCGACACCTCTACACAACGACACCTCAACCCTCATACACAGAACCACAGTGGTACTTTCGCAGGTGCAAAACCTGCTCAGACAAGCAACAGATATTGTAGCACACCTCCACACTCATTTCCTCCACCACATCCACCAAGCGGATCCCACTTTCCGCCAACACTTTCAGCCACTTCCAACTCCGCCCAACCACCCTATACGTTTACCATCCACCACCTCCTCCTGTGACTCAGCACCATCCAGACCACCCATCCGTTTACCAGCACCAACCTCAAAAGACTCAGACGACACCCCAACAACACCCCCAGATCCACAACCCACTACAACACGCAAGCGGAAGCAACCACTCCCACCACCACTGAACCAACAGGCGGACTGGGATGCTTGGGACGGCGACGCCGACTGCCGCCTGGTCGAACTCAAAGAAAACCCCAGACTTCGTCCCAACTGGACCACAGTGGCCCGCCGAGTGGGCTTCTCCGTCGAGCAATGCCAAGCCCGATGGCAAGAACTCAAAGACATGCAACGTCAGCAGGACCAACAACTCTCCTCCACACCACTACCAACAGA